TATTACAAACTTGTTTTCAAAATGCATCACATCAGAGTATCCCAGAAACAGAGTCATAAAAAGCGAGGAGCTGTACGATCATGCCTTTTCCTTTCCACGATCCCCTGATGTACTTGAAACAATAAACTGAAACTGTGAGCCCGAAAGCTTAGTGAGTTCCCCCAAAATACCGATACACATACAATCCATATAACTATGTCAGCAATATCATAACAACTAAACAACATGTATTGGGTCCACAGCTTTACAGACTGGATTACTCCTTGAGCCCACAGTATGAGTCTGGATTGCTTTCGGCCCAACACTCACATCTGGCTTGCCATCAAGCCCACAATACGAGTCTCCCTTGGTCCGTAACTGGAATGCTCCAAGGTTTGTTGGATTACCTCACGAAGCAGTCTCACCTCAACCCATCCCACATAACATATCAACATGTATCATAACTAATGCACATACAGATAATCATACAGTATCACAGGTAGTCCTACATGTCTACCCTACTAGCATATCAACTAGCATACATCACTACCCCAAACTCGCCATATCAATGACTAATAGGATAACAAATCTAATGGGCCGGCCTTGGTGCCTTAGACCCCTTAGTAAAGTGAGGATAACTCACCTTGCAAATATCGAATCGGTAGACAAACTTCAACTCTCGGATCACTGCCACAAACTCCACCACGTATTATCATAATATAACCATACTTGTAAGTTCCCAACCTTTCATGGTACCCCATAAGTCAACTAGTCAACCCCGGTCAAAGTCAAAGTCAACGGTTAAGGTCAGCAGTCCATGTTGACCCTAACTCGTCGAGTATCCTCAGCTACTCACCAAGTTAATTGAGATACTCGTCCACTCGCTAAGTCACCAGAGTGACTCGTCGAGTCCCGAAGGTTCACGATCGAAGCTCTATGGCCACTCATCGAGTTTTCTTTCTTGAATCTTGACAAGTTCACACTCATCCATCAATTGGGGAAACCTCAACCGACTCGCCGAGTTGTTCATCCAACTCGTCGGGTTCATGCCTGTCTTCATATGAATAGCCGAGTCAACCATGGGACTCGCCATGTCCTTTCAGTCCTTTAGCCATACAGACACTTTTAAGCCATGCAAAGGCTCCACATTGCATATCCAAACTTCTAAGGCATGTTTATCACGTAAAGTTGCAAACTTTACGTGCATGCACAACTAAAATGGCGCTTAATGACAAATCCAAGATTACAATGGAAATTTTACACTCAAGGGAGGCTTCATTCATGACCAAGCTCGAGACTTTATGAACCTGGACCCAAGAAGGGTCCAGATTTAAAGTTGCAACTTCAGATCTAGCTCATACACCACAATATCATCATAACAAAATCTCACCCACATGAGGCCTAGAAAGAAATGAGGTAAAGGTGACGACTTGATACCTTCAAATGATGCTAACCGAGGTAGATTTCTGATCCCCACACTTTCCTTGCTTCTAGCCTCTTTCCCTCCAAGCTTTTCTTTTCAAGGATCTACTTTCCAAGGCTTAGAACACACAAGAATGAAGCACCACACGGATTAGGGTTTTCTGGACTCTCAAGGGACTGTAAAGGGGCCATAGGAGGCTTATGATTCTTTAAATAGGGTGAAATACCCCGGGATTTAGGGTTTAATTCTGTCAGCTCCTACTCGTCGAGTCCCCTCTTGGACTCGGTGAGTAGGTCATTAAAACGCGTGGACCAACTCATTACTACTTGACGAGTAGGGCGACCAACTCGTCGAGTAGACCCAAAGACCAAAAGATTCAACATAAATCGATATCTGGGAATCGGGGCGTTACATCCATTAAGTCCAATGTTGCTTAGATTAATTTATGCCAATGATTGTTATTTAATATTTCATGTTATTAAATAATTCTCGTGTATGTCCCGATAAATTCTTAAAATTAGTTTTTTATTGACATTAGGGTTTTGTAAACTCTAGTTAGGGTTTCCAACCCAAATACTAGTCCATTTATCAATTTGTTGGGCTTTTAGGTCAATTAGGGCTTTATTGGGCCTATTACGCCCACTAGAATTTCATTAAGCCCATTAGGGTTTTATTGGGTCAATTAGGGTCCATTAGGGCTTACAAGGCCCATTAGGGTTTCAAGCACCCTAAACGAATCAAACTCAACAATGCAAGCACACCGCCATCCGACACAGCGGTCGGTGGCAGCAAGAGGCAGTAGTCACCACCCTAAGGTGGTGGTTTTCAATTTCTTTTCATTATTCTTCTTTCTAGTTACATTTTACAATGCTAACTCCAATAATCATCCACACACACGCTAATACAAGCACATATAGACAATGACCTAGTGGTAGCCGGCAGCAATGATGATTTTACGATGGCAGCCACCACCTCACGGTGGTGGTGTTTGGTTTTTGTTGTTTCCCAGTCAATCAACACACACAGCAAACCCTTCCTCGTGATTCTGGACAAAACCCCCACCGGTAGTGCATAACGACATTAGCAACACCACGAGCGACATAACGATGATGGTCATGGCGGCGCCAACGAAGCTAAGACGCGGCGATGACGAACATAAAAAGAAGAAGTTAATACAGGTGGGGAGGAGGCGGTTAGATAAGAATCAATGGTTGCTCGACGAGTTAGGTTGAATGAAAGCGATTCCCGACATTCGGCTCCGATCCTCAGCCTCCCTTCTCGTCGGAAATGGCAGCAGTGAAAACAGCAAGGCGGTGAGGGTTCGACATCACCCTCCATGATCTCGGCAGTCCCTCCCGATAGCCACTACATCGTCCACGTCTCCTCCGGTGATGGAGACACCGATGGGTCGAGCATCAGCAAGGAGATGGTAGCGGAGGTTGAAGATGTATAGAGAGAGAGAGTGGCGGCTGATGGAAGGTCTCTAGGTTCAGGGTTACACAATCTTTAAATACCGATGGGTCGAGCATCAGCAAGGAGATGGCAGTGGAGGTTAAAGATGTATAGAGAGAGAGAGAGAGTGGCGGCTGATGGAAGGTCTCTAGGTTCAGGGTTACACAATCTTTAAATACCCAACCCCATTCCAAAAGTTTGCCATAATGGCAAAAGCAGACCCTCCCCTCCCTTTTTCTTTCAAATGTAATCCAACATTTACCCTTTTAACCCCATCCATATAACTCCCTTACAAAACAAGTCCCATATTTTACTAAGTGGCCCCTCCCTGGGCAATTATTTTCAAGTAAAGTACAGATGTTACCATTCAGCCCCTAAGCCTCCAAGATCTCTTCAAATTAAGGTCCAATAATTCACAAATTAGTCCCTTCCTTCATAAATGATTATGAAACTAATCCAAAACTTACACCTTAACCCCCGACTTCTAAAATTGTGACAATTAGCTCTTCGAGACCATCCTTTTCTATATAGTTATCTATTTTAGGGATACTATTCATTCAATCATTTTTTTTATTTATCTAATAAATAAACGGGGTGTTACAAGATGTGTTCATTCTACTTGTAACATCTCCCCCACAGAAGGGAACTCACTTCGATCCAAGGAACACTCGACAAGAATACAAAGTGACAAGTGCACGACGAGAAAACGCTAGCCCACAGGCAAAGGCACCCGCCTGACCCATAATTGAAAACCCGGTAAGGCCCAACAAAATTGAAATTAAGACTGCAGAGAAAATCTTCGGCGATAAACCAAAGCCTTCATAACAGAGGGTGCAAGTGCACGAAACAATAACTACGGAGGCTGAATGTCGTTCTTTTTAATGAGCAGATTTTCCTGTAGGAGAGCACTAGCAAGAGCCCTAGGTAGGCAAAGCCGCATCTATAGTGGCAGAAGGACATGCATGGAAGATGGGTGTATAGAAATGCACATGTGGCACTCTCACCCGGCCAAGGGGAGGCACTTCCCACAGTTGCAACACGCATCAGGTCACAGAGAAAGACAAACAAGAACATCCCTAGGGAACGAGAAACGAAACATAACTCCCCCACGCCAGGCCCCGCTGGGGAAAATAAGAGGAAGCCCTAGCTTATGAAGGCTAACCTACATCAAGTGTATAAAGATGTCACTGCCAAACAAGAAGTATAGCCCAACTTCACACTGGATAGCCATACTTGAGGAGCCAAAGAAAAGATCGGGCACATGCCCTAACACTTAGACATTTAGGTTCTATTGTCTCATGTCTTTCTTTTTTCCTTTTAGGAAGAATATTATTTTCATTTTGAAAAATCTTTCCAAAATAATGTATTGAAAAAACACAAAATATAGAGGTTGTGCATATATTCCAAGTAGCAACAACGACTGATCACCTATGCTACTTAAGCAAAATCTATGCGAGAATGTAGCCGTAGCTCTTAAAAGAGTCATAATTTTTACCTATAATATGCCAAATAACATCTCAGAGTTGAGATTGTAAATGACACAAAACGAGGGGTCATAAAAGGTTCATAGCCTTTCCCCCTAAAAATTAAACAATAAAGGCCTTGAGATGAAGATCTCATCCAATGTATTAGTAGCTACACCATACAACATAGTCAACGACATGGATTATTAGTTCACAAATTAATATCATAAGCCTAATTGAATCATGAACCTCCTCCCTCATTCCTGGTAAGGCACCCTATAGTACTTTCAATTTCCCCAGACTCGCACCAGCTAGGTGAACCCGATCGACATCGGTAACCATAAGGGCAGAGGTCTAGGCCGTAGGGTAACAAAGGTCACCAGCCATGCGAGCACTTGATTGACCCACAAGTGAACTCATCATGGCCTGAGGATGAGCAAGGAATCCCTAGTAATCGCCCATCCCGAAGCGTAGGCCTCAAAAGACGGGGAGTGAGATAAATTCTATGTTTCATTTATCTGAGAAGGCTTATCACATTGAAGAGAACCCCCAGGAGAACTCGGTGCACCCTATATATAAAGCCGAAATCAGGATTAAAATTAGGGCGAACCAGCGGATCGAGATGGTGAGGCCCCCTGAGAATTGGGCACCACCACCACCTCTCTCTTCTCAGGCACAAAACATTAACCGTTGAGAATATCCCCGATACCACTAAGGAACCTAGCCACAGACACAGTCTTACGAGCTTTACGAGGATGAAGACCCACATCATCAAATTCTATCACTTCATCCGATGACGGCACCAGAAGCAAGCTTCGCCTTTTCCAAGTAAGCGCATAACTTCTTCCTTCTTGTACACCTGCATGCGAACTAGAGGGAATAGCAACTGGCGAATGATTTGGAGAAACAGCCACAATGGTTAGCTGAGAAGGTGACGCAGGCCCGTTGGAACCCACATTTCGCCTTACTATCAAGAGCAGCCCAGCAAGCTCCCGTATACACATTTCAGACAAAAGAGGAGGAAGAACCTCTATGAAATCGATCTCCCAATGGAAAATATTTCCCTGATAGTGACCACGCAGGTCCATCTCTAAAGAAATCTCGGCCTTCGCACCTGTGAAAGCAAAGACCAAAAGTAAGATATCACAAGCCACCAAGATATCTTATCCACACTCTGGTTTAAAAAAAAGGGGGTGGGGGGAAAGAACTGAGTTAATACCGTATCTCAGGAAGAACATTTGTGTCGTGTTCCTACAAGCCCTCCAAGCGGAACTCATACCGGCCGCAACAAGAATAAAGTCTTCCCAGTTTTCTCCGAGGACAGTAAAACTCCTTAGCTGACTAACGAGAGCCAGATTGTTCCCAAACAACTTGGGGATATGGTCGAAAAAGTCTAGTTTCCAATGATACCCATGCCCCATGGGGTTTTGTTCGACCCAAAGCCATTGCCTTTGCTAGTTCTTCTTCAAAGTATCCAACTTAGAGATCAGTTGGTGAACATCGCATCGCTTAGCTAGGGTATGAACGTCGGAGTTCGTAGTAGAGTAGAAGAAATAAATGAAAACCCATAAGGTAGGAACGCGACCAAAGAGCGACGGATCAGTTCAAAATCGACGATCTTATTGACATCGCTCGAGGTTAACTCATCGATAGTAAAATCGTAATGCTACACGATCATATCGAAAAAAATTCGATGTCGGCAGGAACAACCCCACCTCGAACAAAGGAATGGGAACCGCAACTTTCCCTGGAGGATGATCGTAGATCGATACTCCCTTTTTCGGAATCATTACACCATGCTCCGGTAACAAATGAAAGCGATCTTGTAGAAATTGGAACTCCTCAGCAGTAGGGACTCTACCGTAACGGTCCATCGTCGAGGAAAAAACAAGTGATTGGAAAAAAATTCTCATAATTCCTAGATAGATACAGCGAGGGTGAAGAAAAGAGGTAAAGATGAAAGGTCTTGGAATAAAGAGGGTTTTAAATAAAAAAAACCATTGTCACAAACCATCTCACAGTGAATCTGACACATTAATGGCACTGCCTAAGGCACGTCAAGAGATAAAACTAATACCGGACAAACAAGTGTCGAGATATAGGCTTGAAAGACGATGCTATCATACCGATGCATACGCCTACAAGCCTAATAGACTTGTTAATGTATCCCTCTAGGAAACATCAAAAGAGAAGTCAAACTGATACTAGGCTTGGCCTGGTCAGAACCCAGTCTAAAGCTAAGTCTAGGCCTCCACCAACACCAGGGGTGCTGATAAGGCGTTTAAGGTGCAGAGCCGTGATTAACCCCATCTCTGGGAAATCATACCCTGGAAAATGTGGGACAAATTAGGGAGTCACACTCGCTAATCAGATGATAGCCACGATCTTTGTGAACATTTGGAAGATCTCCTTCCAGCCAATGGGAGAAGGAGGCAAAAGACGTGATGGAGGACCCTCCAATATGGGTTTGCCACGTCGCACCTCAAGAGAGAATCTTCAATAGAATTAGTTGAGAGACATGACTCAGAGACATGTATAAAAGGATCCTTCTTCCTCACGAAGAAGGGGACGAAATTCTCTCTTTTTTGTAATCACTTACCATCTATGTCAGGTCTCATACTAACTAGATCGTCGGAGCTTCGTCCCGTGATCCCCTACCAAACATCGACTAATGATCTTTATCCTATTTTGTACTATGGTATCAGGGGAAGTCGTTTCTGTAGGATTCACCGGCAATCTCGACCCATCCATTCTCCGACATATCACAACAGTGGAGTCTTTACGGTTTGAGGAAAAAAGAGATCATCATTGAAGCATAGATTTAGCTTGGATATTTCTAGACCTAAGGCTTTATGCATATTTATCCATGGCTATAAGAGTTAGAGTGTTGGGACTCCATAAAGTTAGCAACTTTATGGGTCCATAAGGTTCCTTGGTGATTATATGTTATGGATATGATGTTTGGATGATGTTTTAGTTCATGCTTGAGTTTTAATCTCCTTTTTCTTCTTGAAAGCCCTAATTTGTGCTGAATTCTTGTATTGGACATACTAAACCTTAAAGTATCAATTTTTATGGTCCTTGAAGTGTGAGGAAGCCGCCTGGAAAATATGGATTAGTGGCATAATGGATTAAGATGTTTTTAGATCAATATGGCATTTAGAATAATCTTATGACATGAGCTTATGCCTATTTGTGAGGATCATGAGTCTCGATTATTTTGTCCTCTAGTAGCTCACGACGTGAGCCATAGATGGTCATACCGTGAGGGGTTGTTGACTGTTGACTTTCGTTGACCATTGACTTTGACCAATTTGACATTGGGTCGAACTTGAAGGTTTTGGGATGTTGATTTAGATTCTTCCATGATTTGGTGATAGAGGGCTTGTGGGAGAAATCAGTGCGGCAAGGGTGTGCGTCTGATTGTTTTTGGGTTCTTTGATTAAGGTGAGTTTTTCCTTATTGTACTGTAGGTCGAAGGCACCAATGCCATCCCACTAGTTTTTGTTATCATGTAGTAAAGGGATGCCATAGGGACTGTATCCAGTCACGTAGGATAAATTGAGGACTCTTGATCTAGGCTCTCCTTCCTGTTCCTTTTGGTTGTGGATATATATAGTAGTGTAACAGCCCGAAATCCAGGTATTCTTCTTTTGGCCTTGCATCTTGGTTAAGTTGTTAATTTAGGGTTTCCATGGTAGGCGAGTACGCTGGGCGTACAAGGTGTACGCTGCGCGTACTCGCGCGCCTCATTTTGGACGCGATCACCCTCAGGTACGCGGGGCGTACCCAAGGTTATGCCCGGTGTAACTTATCCAGATCTAAAACTGTAACAGCCCAAAATCTCAAGTATTGTTAAAGTGCATTTTGGGGTGTTTAAAGGGGAGACTCGGCGAGTTGGAGCCAGACTCACCGAGTAGGGTCGCAGACTTGGTCGCGGGTTCGCGACTGGACTCGACGAGTCCAGATATGGACTCGGCGAGTCGACGCTGTTCAATGAAAAACCCTAGCCGTTCAGTTTTGGGTCGTATATAAGGGATCTTATGCCGTCATTGCTCGTCTTTTGGTCGATTGAGAAGAACCCTAAGCGGCTGCAGCATCTAGAGCAAGCTTGTAGGCCATTGGTGACCTTGAAGGAATTGTTGTGCAAGGAGGAGAAGGGTTTTGGCTAAAGTAACTGCAAGGGATTCGAGTTCTGAAGTTTGGGGACACAGAAGGTACATCATTCAGGTAATAGCTCGGATTACATTCTACTGTGATTGATGTGTATATGGATTTAGGGTTTATGAAACCCATTTGATGAGTAGATGGATTATTACCTTGTTACCCAAACGAATATAACCCTGTATTAGGACCCTTAGAGGTCCAGAAGGTCCCATGTTTGTGTATTTGGAAAAATACGTATCTCAGGAAGCAGTTTGATCGATTGCATGGCATGGACTCGCCGAGTCCGATGAGCAGACTCGGCGAGTAGCTTGAAGAATAACTGGGACTCGTCGAGTTGTTCTTCAGACTCGACGAGTGGAGTCGGGGTGGCCCCACTATTCTTCCAGGAGTAACTCGTCGAGTCAAGGAGGATACTCGACGAGTAGAAGGGGAAACTTAGAGGATTGGAGGACGACTAGACTCGCCGAGTCGCCAGAGTACTCGACGAGTCCGGCCGAGTTGACCGTGGACTGTTGACCAGAGTTGACCTGTGTGACTTCTTAGGGTCAGTTAACGTGGAAGTTAAAAGTATTAATAAGAGATATATTATTATAGGGAGCTTGTAGCTCGGCGGATCAGGTGCAAGTGGTTTCAGGAGTTGCTAACTTCCAGCATCCACGAGGTGAGTCTTCTCACTATACTGTACCCAGAAGGGTTTGACTGTGTGACCGGAAGGTCGAATATGTTATGTGTTATGTATATATGCTATAAATGGAAAGTTAGTTGCTACGCGTGATATGCATGTTTATATGGGCCGGAAGGCAAAGTATTATGTGACAGAAAGGTCAGGTATGATATATGATATATGTGCTTTATGTGTTAGAGTAAATGTATTATGTGCCGTATATGTTTTTGGGCCGGAAGGCAATATGTTATGGGCCGGAAGGCAATATGTTATGGGCCGGAAGGCAATGTACTATGGGCCGGAAGGCAACACGTTATGGGCCGGAAGGCGATTATCTCATGGGCCGGAAGGCATTGTGCAGTGGACCGGAAGGTCAGGGCCTGGAAAGGCGTATGTGCGTAAGGTGTATATTGGGGAACTCACTAAGCTTCGTGCTTACAGTGTTTTATGTATGTTGTTTCAGGTTCTTTCAGTAACGCGGGATGGCACCGGCTCGATTGTACACACCAAAGAAAGAGTTGTATTCTGGAGGATCCTGGTTTTCTACTAAGTGAAAATGGAACTATGTTTTTGTAATTCAAATGTGTATGAGATTTTAAACAAGTGATTTAATATTAATTTGATTAATTAAATGAAAATTTTGCCTTGAAAATCATGGTGTTACAAATTGGTATCAGAGCCTTGGTTTGAGGGATTCGGATGCGCCTTCGGGTAAATCTGGACTCAAACTGAGGAAATAAGAAAAAGTTTTCAAATAAACAGTTTTCTAAAAGTGGATAAGAGTTCAAAGAGAAAGCAAGAAAGAGCAGAGTGTACAATCAGCCAGAGCCAAACGGTGATTTCCCAAAATACCCTTACTTTTGTGTTATGAAATATCTATTATGCACTTTATGAGATATTATTGCATGCTAAAGACAGGCTAGGTATTTCATATCTTAGGACTAGAGTGGCCTGATTTGTGGTGCCTTAGCCTAGGGTTTGTTATTATATGTGCGTTATGCTTTTGTGTATGTGATGAGCGAGAATATCCAGTTAGGACGCACGAGGGGTAGAGCTACAGAGTTCAGTGGTACTTCCGAGGATGAGCCGAGAAGGTGGAGCTATCACAGATAGGGAGTCCTATGTAATCTTCGATGCTCGAATGCTGCTTGCTTTGTGCTTTGTGGAATTCTCGATGATGGGAGTCAGCTACTAAGTGAGTATGACGATATTTAGGAGGTAGATGGCTGGCATCATTAGGAGCTCTTCAGCAGCTGATAGCAAAGAAGTGGGAGGACGGCAGATGGGGCTAGGGAGTAAACCTAGCCAGATGAGTGCGCTGGTATAATAGAGGATTTCGCTGGGGAGCGAGCATGCACGATGAGATGGGTGAAAGAGCAGGTCGATCAGCTACTTAGGAACTCTGGGATGGTCCGTGTGGAAAGTATGGGTAGATGTGGCAGGTAGTATGGGCCCGTACTACTGAAATCAGAGGACCCATACTTGATACAGGGAGCATTCTGAAGGTCCTAAGGAACGGGATGAGAAGTGATGTTATGGTTCGAGTACCATATATCGGAGCAGATTGCGGAGTGATGTTATGGTCCGGGTACCATACATCGGAACAAAATGAGGATAGATGTTGTGGTTCGAGTACCATTCATCGGAGCGGAGTGCGGAGTGATGTTATGGTCAGAGTACCATACATCGGAACAGATTGAGGATAGATGTTGTGGTTCGAGTACCATACATCGGAGCGGAGTACGGAGTGATGTTATGGTCAGGGTACCATACATCGGAACAGCTTGAGGATAGATGTTATGGTTCGAGTATCATACATCGGAGCAGATTGAGGAGTGATGTTATGGTTCGGGTACCATACACCGGAACAGATTGAGAAGGGACGTCATGGGATGAGTACCAGGGTTCGTAGAGGATGATGCTTGTGACTATCTTGCTATCGGGTCATGATCGATGAGGTAGAGATCGGATGCTAAGGGTTTAGGCCTGTAGACCATGATTGAGTATGGGGAGGCGTTCCCCCGAGAGGAAAGGCGAGTGCCC